GGCTAAAATTCCGATTGGCAGGGTGAAGGACGGGAGAATTTACCAGAAGGGTCTTCTCTTCTCTCCTCCCCTTCACACGAACACACCTCCTCTCCTCCTTCAACCACCTTCCGCCGCCGGAAAGGGGTTTTAAAGTTACAGTTATTGCTTACTGAATCAGCTCTTCACAGCAAAGAAAGCGGAGTAGCTAGTTGCAATGGGCTGAATGAGAGCTTTCCAGAGGTAGTTGGATGAGGATTTTTGGTGGAGGAGCGAGGGAGATCCGAAAATAACACCATGGCAGCCATGGTCGCCTCGGCCGCCTAGTAGCTGCAGAGTCGCGCGCAGACCATCAATCCTTTCACGATCGAGACTTGGAACTAAACGCCGTCCCTATAACATGGACGCGCAACGTACACTGCTTAACCTTATATAAAACCTGGCAAGTCGACAATGTTGCAACCAGGTGTTTGATGAACCCTTACCAAGTTTCCAGCAACATCCGAGGGTTGGATTGAAAAGAGAGGGCCGGTTTAGGATTTGGCCACATGACGTCAAGTTTGAGTGTAGCGCATGGAGGGGCCACGCACATCACGATCATGTAGACATTGTTGAAGCTGCTCAAGCCTTAGTGAAATAAGTATACTATGTAAGCTCGCTCTCCATCAAGGTTCAGTGTCATTGGCAGGCGAATATACTATCGTAAGTAGAGGGCACCATTCAAAAACAAACTCAGCTTGGCCTTAATCGTCGGGAGTCCGGTTCTAGCACTGTTTTGAACTTTAGCTTACATTACAGCATTCGTTTTGAAAATTTCCATGGGGCCCAGGGCACCCCAGTCCTATGTTTCCTTTCAATCAGGCCACGGCGACTTTCTCAACATCGAAACGCCTTCTTTTTCGTCCTTTCTTGTTAGCTATCACCACTTCCCTACAATCAGCTATATACCACGAAAGGCTGCTGTACACCGTGTTTAAGATGTTATCAACCGTTTGTCTGTGCTGCTCTGTTCGACAATTGCTCCCACCCTGCCCCTGCGTGCCTTTGCTACATAAACATCATCCGTGAAAAGATCGAGCACCTTTGTACAGGAACCTAGGGCCGCACCTCCTCCAAACCCCCGCCGCTGCTGGCAGGGGGCTGGTTGCTTTGTCGTGAACGGTGTGAATCAGAGTCGCCAGCAGCTGTGTCAACTGGATCAGAACGAAGTTGGTCTGGCGAGTCAATACCCCTTTCCACCATCTCTTCCCCTTGATTTGCAGCAATGCCCATCCCGTGCGGCACATCGAGAGGCTCGCGTGTTCGGCTGTGGTAACGGCGCATGTCCCGGATGACCGAATACACTACGATCGTGCCGACCGTCCCCACGAAGCCACCAATGAAACACGCCCCGACACCGCCCACGTGGCCCTGAAAAATGGAGACCAAGCATGAGATGTTCAGTAGAGCGCTCATTGTTGCACAATCACGCTTCTCTTCCTTGATCAAAAGCGCTGCGCGGCAACCCCGCCTTCTCTGTGCAGCCTTTGCGAGTTGCACGGGAGTGAACAACGAGTTCGACCTGAAACGGACGCTCCTACAGATTCAAGGATGACCTTTGCACAGCAAACGTGCTGCGTACAATATTATTCAAAGTTGCTAACAAGGCTTCCTCATACACGGACGCGCTTTGGAATAGTCGGATTGAACTTCCTGTTTCCGTCCACAATACGCCCGATACCTGATGATGATCTGATAGACAAACGCATCCGTCAATTCGGACCCGCTCTCACAATATGTTTTCAGACTAGTAGAGGGGCCTGTAAAGTCGCTATTCTCACCAACGAGAACGTGAGCTGCGCCACGATGACCACGAAAAAGAACTGCATGAGCCCCAGGCCCCAGAGCTTGCTTGGATCCGTCCTGGCCGCAATGGTTATCGTCGTGACGGCCAGGATGAGAGACGCGGGGATCGACACCGACACCGCGTCCTTCCCCTGTTGCGACACCTGGCGGGGGCAGCAGATTGCGTTAGCGCACGTTCTCTGCAATCTTCGAAAGATTGTTGACAGAAAATGTGGCGGCTTGTCTTTCGAAAACGAACGCACAAGGCACGTGGCCGAGCGAGAAACGAATCAAGCGGCTTGGAACGAGCCCGAGAAACATTGGGCGAACAAAATGGAAGCAGTCCGACACAGCTGCTTGCGCTCTGCCTTGCTTCGCGATCGTGCTGACAGGATTCAAATGATTTGAAGCTTTGCCGCGCAGAGGATAAACTTGACAGAAGACAACAGTCGGGCGGCCGACAAGTGACTCGACTCCCTCAAATACGGCAAACCTCGAGGAAAGATCTGAGGCTGGAGCAGGGATCCAGACAGCCGAGCGGAAGCAAAGAAACTTAGGAATTTGTCGTATGAGGGGAGGGTTTCTGTGCCCGCGTGGGGGGGGTGCCCCCGGACATGGGGAGCGTCCAAAGCCGGGTTTGACAGCAGGTTAGGCAAACGGCTTGTAGAGGGGTTGGCGGGAGAATTTGTGAGGGGGTTGGTGTGGAGGTTAGGCGGCTAGACGCTCGGGCTCATGAAACGGCCAAGCCCCTCTACTCACCAGCATTTGCTCGAAGAAACAAAAGTACGCCACTGCGGCAGCGATGAAGACCATTGGAACGTCGCGGTACCGTCGCGGGAGGACCGTCTCATCCGCAGCCGCGGCCCCTGCTGTCGCTGCGCCGCTGCCGTCGGTGGTGCCGTTCTCGCCTTCTCTTCGCCGCTCGAGAATCACGGGCAGGTTCTCCACCTCCGAGCCGCACACTTCGCACAGCCTGACAAGAAAGAGAACGAAGAGGAGCGCTTCAGTTTAGACGACTCCTGTACGCTGTTCTTCGTTGCCAGTTCCGTTGCAAAGGCATCGATGCCAGAGCCGTGACCTCGTACAAGATGCGCAAATCACGGGTGCCATACCTCGTATGCGTGCAGTTACGGAAACAAACGAGAGAAGCTCGTGACGCCTTATTATACAGATTGTGCTGGAACAAACGTCGGTGACAGATTGCCAGCACGAGCTGTGGGTTCTTTCAAGCAGAAATTTGTTGAGCGGACGACCGTTTCAAGACCTCAATTGCAGACAGTGATCAGCAGAAGGCACAAGTCGTGGCGGAACTGAATCCACGCCCACGGCTCTTGTCCGGAAACAAGCTGACACGTGCAATCTTTCGTCGTTTGTTGACCCTACCCATCTTCCCACCAACATTAGAGAGCTTCAACAGGCAGGTGAAAGGATTCGTTTGTTTTCCGTTTGTGAAAAAGAGACAAAAGAGCCCCCTGCTGTTCAAGCCATCGAAGCATGCGTCTCTAGAAGACTTGCTTGATTTTGGTCTTCAAAATCGATTACCTCAAGTTCTCCACTTAGTCCCCAACCCCTCATCCGTTCCCCGAGTTTCGATCAAGACTGCGCTTTCTGTATAACCTCGACATCCTCTCTGTCCTCCTCTTTACAGCTTCCGTTCTTCCGCTCTACTAAGAGTCGGAGGTGAAAGCTCGCTTGCGTTTCTCGCCCCCTCACCTGTTGCCCCGCAGATTGAACCAGCGAAGCGCGCACTGCTCGTGTGCGAGAGCCATGTCGCCCTTGCACTGGCACTCGAGGCGCCACGTCTCGCCCTCCGTCAGCTGGTCGAAACAGATCCGGCAGATTGCTTCGTCCAGCATCACGGGCTGCCGCTCACGCTCGTCGACCTTTCCGCGCTGTGAAAGGCTGCTGAGGGACATGCTTAGGGACCTGCAATCAGGATTTCCAACACATCTCGACAATGTACATGAATTTATGTTTTCGAGACTGTCGTCATTTCAATAACTACAGACTGTTTGTGAGGCGTCAGAGAAAACTCATGCTTTGACTCTGTTTTGAACGGTCGGACATGTGGCAGAATTCATATGGCCGCTCAGATGTGTTCAGAGACCTGCACAAACCGGGACGTCTGCTAAATCCTTTGAAAGGAGACCACCTTGTGGGCAGGTCGTGACGAGATAAGCTCTACAAGCTCTTCGCAACAGAGCCTCGACGATTTCAAAACCTGCACCCGAAAGTTTCACATCTTGGTGATGAATACTTATGAGCACAGGATGAGTGTCAACTTGTATCAGGCCTGAATTACTCAGGCCGATTGACATACCTCTACTGGCAGTTGAGCATCTGACAGAGAGAATCAGTCTGGATGACATGCTTTCGGATATGCTAGATGCTTTCAGCTTTTAAAGGAGCAGGCGACTTCTAGGACTAGCTTGGCCAAAAAGCAACACAGCAAGCCGAAGTGCCTGAAAGCACTTTCATGATCATTATGTTAAAAAGGGGCGCACCTGGCGAGAGAAGCCCCCAGGCCCCCCAACACAGAACCCCCGGGCTCTCGTTTGCTTTCTTCCCCAATGTCAATCACGCGTTCCGGCCGCGGCAACACGAGCACCAGATCCGACGGCTGGCGTTGCAAAGGGGGGCGTTTGGCTATTGAGCGGATTCTCCAGAAGTGGTGGTCCGGAAGGGGGGGCTCGGCACCGTGAACTGTGGACTCTACAGGGGGTGGTCGGGAGGCACCTTCCCGCTCCGACCTGCTTCCTTGTGAGCTGGAGGGGGAGTCGGGGATGCCAGCCATGGGGCTGGACAGCTGGCGGCGGAAGGAAGGCCGGGGCACAAGGGGCTGCAGAAGGGAACTTGGCATCAGGCGTGATGACATGAGGTGACAGTGGCAGGGGGAAGACGCGAGACAGAGTTTGTTCAAAGGCTGAAGTAACAAGGGGCACCTGACTGGACCTTAATGTAGGGTGTCTTCGTTCAGCCATGCTCAATAGAATCCACTGCAGATTCCGGAGCACAGTATGTACAGGGGGACAGCCACCTCGCCTCAGTTCCTAAAGCCCCAAACTATGGCCAGGACAGACTATCCCCCAGGACCCAAACTCCTGAGGTTGCTCCAAAGATTTCACAAGTCCTGTTTTTATAGACTTTCTTGCCCATGAATCTAGCACTCCCCACACTCGAATCCCTGTGTGTACTGACACAAGAATGACGATATTAAACACAAGTACTGCATGAGAAATGCCGCCATAAGTCCATCAGTTTCCATAGAACCAGAAAGAAGGTCGATGGCTAGTGTTTTCAAATTGCTTCTGACTTTACATCTGCTTACCTGAGTTGCGGTTTCGTGTGTCCCCAACCACTTTCCACTGCTTTCGATGCGAAGCTGGCCCTCAGACATAAGCCTTTTGTATGACTGCCCCCCATGCCATGTCTCTCCATGCATCTGTGACGGCCTGCGCGTCTCATGGTCCATTCCGCCAAGGAGTGTACGCTCGGAGTCTGCCCCTTCGCCCTCTGTGACCTCCTTATCTTCTTGCGACGAGTTACTCTGCATTATCTCCAAGCTAGTACAATGGGATGAAATTCAAATAAGACACAAATGTACGTTGATTGTGCCAAGGGTTTCCAGAAGCAGAAGCTACATTCCGCCTTCCTCCTTCAAGAGCAACAGCTTGACGAATTCACTGATGCAAACTCGAAGAGTGTATCCCTTGCAGAATCCAATCCACTCCCACTCCCTGTTTACAGCGCCCTGATTCTTACCATATTGAGCATTTCACGTCAAATCGTGAAGCTGAAATTCTACACTTGTGATTGACTGCACAGCTGGCTGAACCCTGCAGCAAAACCCTTGCAAAACCCTATATCCACTATGAGACGTCCTGTCTCTTGCTTTCTCTTTGAGCTGATTTGAGCCGCATTGCGCTTATGGTGCACGAACTAGAGTACAAAGACGCTTGCAACTATCTCCCAATCTACTTTGGGTGGTTTCTAAGATCTAAAGAGATGGAGCACCGCAACCTCCAGCACGAGCACGTGGGGCCTGGTGGTGCATGTGCGTGCTCATCGCATGCCCCCTCAGGCGTGGAGCAGGGGCTGGAGGAGCTGAACTTTCAGCGGAGCTTATCTGGAGCGGCCCTCAGCGGTGATCTTAGTGAGTGGCGTGCTTCAAAACCAGGAGTCAGGACGCTATGGCATCTATTTGAACACGCATAGGAATCTGCAGGGAATACTACCAGGTTCAAGCACATCTTTGCTGTCCTTAGACAAGGTCTCAGATCATGGGTAGAAGGTGGTACCACCACAATTTGAAGAGATGTGTCGCCAAGTGCTCGCCTTTGCATTGTCAGCAGCTTCACGAAGCATCTGCATTTGTGCAATAAGTTGAAACAGGATCAAGTCAAGGCGAGACAACACAACTGCCATTCTTTGCTACGAGCCTAGAAATGGGAGTGATTGAAACGACACTGACTTTCATGTTTGTTTTCAATAGACAAAGTACGGCGGATACTGGACAGGACACCTCTTCAAGGTGGTCAGGATGATGACCAAGGCGGCTATACGCCACTGCACTACGCTGCCAGGAACGGGCACCAGGACATCTGCCGGCTTCTCCTTGAGGTCAGTTCATTCACCTTTTCGCCTGGATCTTGAACCTTTCCTTATGAACTGTACCGAGGTACTCTTCTGATAGACCTTCTACCCTCTTTCCGTCTGTTCTTTATGCCTTTGCAGTCCTTTATTTGCTTCCTGAATCCATGGCCGTTTTTGAATCACAAACTTGAGCGCGGAAGTTTAAGTCAAGCGGCAAAGCTTGGTCCATGCAACGAGAGTTCAAATTATAAAAGATATAAGATCTGTTTCACACTCACCACTCATAAGAACAAGGTTGTAAGTCTTCACATCTCTCCTATCAAGTCACTGTGCAGGACTCAACCAACTAGGGTAAAGAAAATGCATACTGATGAAGTTCTGGTCAGCTGACAGGCTTGTCCCTCTCCAATTAATAGCAACAACTAGTTCCTTCTCTTTGCTGACCACAGTGTTACGTCTAGCCGGAACCTCAGAAGTTGGCTGTCCCACAGCTCGCTACTTCTTGTTGCAGTACAGTTGCCCCACTGTGCCTCAATCTTGCATCCAATGCAGAGGCTAGAAACTGTCACAGAAATATGCATCACGGAACAGATCTCAACTTATGAAAGCTGTTGATTCTTTGTTATGTTATGTAGTCATTGAATCCAGGATCCATCAGACTTCGGGAGCCAATTGCGCTGAAAGAAAGGACAGTGTATCCCGAACAATCGGGACACTTCATTGAACGTCCATTGATGATTTAACTTTGCTTCCCATGGAAGTCGTCTTGATTCTGCACTTTCAGTTGGAGCATCCCTTTCCTCTCTGCTTTTGTACTCGCAATCTGGACTCGACACTGGTTTCTGAATCAGAAATTGTGTTTTCGTACATTTGATTGATTGCGGATAGAATACAGAAGGGATCGGGTCTGTTCTGAATGCATGATCACCGTCCAGTTCTGGCAGATTGTGCATATCCTATGACTTTGTTGCCATGCACGAAAGGCGTGCAATCGCATCCCTCCTTCGTCTCTTGCCTCGTGTTTGGTGGTTGTTCAAGCGGCCCGAAGGTTTCCAGCCGCTTCCTCAGTCTCACTTCGTTTTCCCAACTCTCCTTCCTTCCTAGTTTCAGCCTCCGCTCTTTCTTTCCATTTTTCGCCCTCTCTTCGACGACCTTGTGTCCCTTTCGCAAAGTCCCTATTTCGACAACCTTGCAGATATTTCCTTGCAGTATCTCTTTCACCCTTTCTTATGCCCCGTTGGAAATTAAGTGCTTCCCTGTGCAGAGGGGGGCCGTCGTAGACGCCAGGACACCGGCCGGGCGGGCGACGCCTTTGCACAGAGCCGCATATGGGGGCCACGTGGACATCGTGAAGCTGCTGCTGAGGCACGGGGCTGACCCCCGGGCGAAAGATGCTGATGGCCAAACCCCTCATGACAAAGCAGGTGAGCGAGAAGGCAGCTAGACCAAGTGCATGACAAGCACTCCTTGGATTAATATGTTACGCCAGAGCTTCATCTGGCTGCGATGATCTCAAGAGCTGACTGTGGTGAACCGGACGGAAACCTGAGGTGTAAAAAAGGCAACTCTGCTCTCTTGCAAGTACCCTCGCTCGTGCTAGAGGAGTCTTGTCGTCTTGAGGTCTTTGTCAACGGGTAGTTTGTTTGATGTCAATGAGTGAAGGGTAAACCTGCCGTTGTTCTTCTTGTCAGCCGTCCCCGATATTTGAAGCGTCAGTCGCTCACTCGCTGCCAGTCGGGTCGGAGGCAGCTGTCATTGTAAAACCAGTGTGCGTGAAAATAGATTGACTGAAACCTTGTGTACTTTGCAATATTCAACGATCTCCTGAGTAAACGAATGGTAACCTTTCACCAGCGCTTCCACCTTTCCCCAAGAGCACCTTACCATCTGATCTGGATCTTTGTCTCTGCAGTAGGAAGGCATCCGGAGGCGGCCTCCTTGCTCGTGGTGTCGTCTTCTTCCTGATAGAGCCCCATCCGGAAAAGGTAAGCGTGAGGCATTCCAGGCGAAAGGCATTCCAGGACAGAGTTTTGATCCGAGCGGCATGTAATGGTGTATAAAGACTGTTTCCTGTTTAAAACGAAAAGAAACGATCGGAAGAACGAATCACAACCTGTCTGAGGTCGCTTGAAAAATTTTGAAATCTCGAGGGCGTCTGCGCCGTTCCAGGTGGTGAGAGGGTGTAAAGGGTCGCGTTTTATCTTCTTTTCAGCTTGACGTGGATCTGTTATTTTCGTAATGGCTAACCTTTTTGCTGCACTACCCAAGTTGATCTGAACGGGCCGACGTATGAGAATTTCCCGTCACTGGGCGGTAGTCATGAAAAAGCGTCTCTTGTGGGGACGCTGCCGCTCAGCCTTATCTGCATAAGTTGACTAAACTCCCAGGCCACGGCTTCCTTCATAGGTGGGGGCTAGTTCTCAAATGTTGCGCTGATCTGCAAGTGAGCAACGGGCTTGCCACAATTGGGCCCTACGTGCATCAGATCTTTTCGAAACAACACTACGAGATTACGTGGCAGATAAGCGGGAGGCAAGCACGAGAAAGACTCCGCATTTCAGACGCCTCAATCATTCTGAGGCGACGTTATGGTGTATGACTTCACGATGACTGGGGCAATCATCCAAAAACCTGTTTCATTGAGTACTCGTTGACTCTTACGCAAAGGCTACTTCTGCATTCAACCTGACTCTTCGTACGAACCTGCAGGTAGGGAGGGCAAGGTGGTCAAGAACGGTTGCCGAGCATCGTTTTCGGGAACGGACCACCGCGGCTTTCGAAAGCTGCGAGGACCAAACCCTACAAAAGTGAGCTTCCTTCTGTTCCACGATTTCTTCCTGTAGAGGCGCATACGTCAACCTAAAACGTAGATAACGTGAACGATCGCAAGAGCAGCTTCTCTCATAAGAAGGTTGTGTTCAGACCTCGCAAACTTGGCTGGTAAGTCGCTTTGCCTGGGGCCATCATGACGCAAGGTCTACTGGCATCCTTACTGGACTCTGATCGAACCGTTCATCGGCTCGCTAAGGCATGCCGGCCAAGCATAACCGTACGATGAGCCTCTGGCTGATGTGGCAGACTGAAGCGGTTGAGAATTCGAGATCCGGGGTTGCGCACCGGCAGTTCACGAAGACCGGTCACGGTTAACCATGAAACTTGAATCCTCCGAGGATACTCCCGGCTAGTTACGGGTTCAAGATGCTACCCGGTTGGCCGATATGAGCCTGGTAGGAATACTTGTACCCATTATCGGCCACCTTCACTTTGGACATCAGAATTTCGATGTCAACTCAGTTTTCTGTATGAATGTTATATATGGATAGAAAGCTCGTCGAAGCCTCTTTCCAAGGATATAAAGAACATTTATCAAAAATGACGATTTGAAGACTTTGTATAAGATGGTAATTTTTGGCCCATTTTTTAACCGTGTTCCTATTATCGGCCACCTGGGTAAGCTAGGAAATTACAGCAGACTTGGTCAAATTGAGTTCGGTTTTTGATGGGAGGTAGAGATTAACCATGCCCTCAAGAGTACCAAGTTTGGTCGCCAACAAGTAAGTTTTTAACAGGGCGCTGGACACTCCTTTGCGCCTGCTAAAGTGGCGAAAGTTCGGCCACGAACCGAGTTTCGTTCGATCGAGACTCGAATTCGAGGTGGCCGGTAATAGGAGCTGGCCGATAATTGGTACAAGTATTCCTACACCGTTGATAGGCATGGCGAAACCTGAAACCTGATTTGCGGCACACGCAGCCTGTGGTTCTCTTTCAGTAGACGTATTCACAGTGCACACTGCCAGTCATGCACTACGCTTTCCTGCAATTCGGGTGTGAACTCCTCCTCAGAATATTCATCAAGGGCTTACACGTGGCAGTACAGAGTTGCTTGGGCTGCTCCGTCACAACTGGGGTTTGAAAGCGACGGATCGAAAAAAAACGGAAGTTT